CACTATTCAGACGTAATCTTAAATGGTGCTTTCTGACCTGGGTGGCGCAGCGGTTTGGCGCCTGCCTTTGGCCCAGGGCGCGATCCTGGAGACCCGGGATCGAATCCCACGTCAGGCTCCCGGTGCATGGAGCCTGCTTCTCCCTCTGCCTATGTCTCTGCCTCTCTCTCTGTGTGACTATCATAAATAAATAAAAATTAAAAAAAAAAAAAAAAAGAAACGACAAATACCCACCATGTGCTTCGACATGGATGGAACTGGAGGGTATTATGCTGAGGGAAGTAAGTCAATCAGAGAAGGACAATCATTATATGGGTTCACTATACGGGGAATATAAAAATAGTGAAAGGGATTATAGGGGAAAGGAGAGAAAATGAGTGAAAATATCAGTGAGGGTGACAAAACATGAGAGACACCTAACTCTAGGAAATAAATGAACAAGGGGTAGTGGAAGGGAAGGTGGGTGGGAGGGTTGGGGTGACTGGGTGACAGGCACTGAGGGGGGCACTTGATGGGATGAGCACTGGATGTTATGCTATATGTTGGCAAATTGAACTCCAATAAAAAATTAAAAAAATAAATACATAATATATTAAAAAGCATTTGTAAGCATGTGTGCATGCAGTGAGTTGACATGTATAAATGATCATGTAGATCTGTATGTATAATCACATTAGGTGACTAGATAAGGCATAAATATAATATATTATGTGAGTTTATAAAATATAAATGGATGTGTAGTTGAACGGATAGCTAGAGATAGGATTTATTATTAAAATGGGAAAACACTATATGCCAGGCAAAGTGCTTTGCACGTTTCAAACTCAGCTCACTCTTCCATGACCATCTCGAAGTGGGTACTGTTGTCTCCGCATGTTCTAGAAGAGGTGACCGAATGCCTCACATAGATAGGTCTGTAGAGACAGTGATGTGTGTGTGAGTGTGGAGGCGAGCCTTCGTAGAGTGCTGCCGGCCTCGACCTAGAAGATGTTAGCTGGTCTCGCAGTTGGCTTCCTTCTTAATTCCTTTAGGAAATGGCACCGTATTAAAAGAATCCTTGGTGTTTTCATAACAAACCACCCGGAAAATGTTTCCCCCTTGAGATAACTGGTGAATTCCCTCAGGGGTCCCCGCAGCCTTGGAGCCCAAACCCCCCAGGCAGAGGCACACCGTTGAGGTCTCCCGCCCACCGGTTTTCTTTCTTTTTTTTTTTTTTTTTTTAATATTTTTATTTATTTATTTATGATAGGCACACAGTGAGAGAGAGAGAGAGAGAGAGAGGCAGAGACACAGGCAGAGGGAGAAGCAGGCTCCATGCACCGGGAGCCCGACGTGGGATTCGATCCCGGGTCTCCAGGATCGCGCCCTGGGCCAAAGGCAGGCGCCAAACCGCTGCGCCACCCAGGGATCCCCCGCCCACCGGTTTTCAGGAGGGTGAGGAGGACACAGGGCGTAGGGCCAGCCTGCGTTCTCATCGGGCGCCTTCCCAAGTGCCCGGGGGCAGTGGCTGTGGTTCACCCAGGCCTACATCGTCAGGGCCGCAACAGCAGCGGGAGGCCCTGCTGTCACCCACGATGAAGGGCCTCTGCTTTGGGATGTGAGAGAAACTTGGCCCTTGGCCCAGTTTCAAGCATCGTGTTGAATCCTGAGCAACTGCGCAATGAGAATTCCATATCCTTCCAAAAAGCCTGCACCTGGAGAATTGACATACAAATCCCACAAGTATACAATATAGAGTTGTGCACACCTGTGCGTGTGCACATGTGCACACAAAAGCCCTGGTATTCTGGAGTTTTCCAACAAAAATGACTATTTTATATCCTCCCTCGTGAGAATATTGTTTTCAGTTCTAGCTGTTGACTTTGTTGGTGAAAAGCTCATCACAGAGAAAGGTGGGGACTATGCATCGATATGTAGGTACGTGCTGTGGATATGCGTGCACTTGTACACACACGCACAGGGACGGACGGGCTCTCTTGAAGTAAAAGGGCCAGATCTGTGGGGACAATCCAACAAGAACACAATAGGGAGGTTGGCTGAAAGCTGACACCTCCCCACACAATAGCGGGACTCACCTTCGGAGAGCGCTGAGAGCACCTGGGCAGGTCCCAGAATGTGCTTTTTCAACAAGCTCATCAGGTGTTTCTGTGGGGGCATGGGTACGCACAATCGCGTGTGCATGCGTGCATGTGTGCAAAGGCAGTGAAGTGCTCCCCGGAGCTCTGTTTACATAAGAATGGATCCTTCCCAGGAAGTAGACACAGCCTTCAGATGCCATCATAAATAATCCAGGAGGCTGGGGTGTTGAGGGAGACATTGGGATGGAGATCATGGTCGAAGCTCACTGAATCGCATCTGTGATGTTTTATTTTTATTTATTATTATTTTTTAATTTTTGTTTTTTACCGTGGAGGAGGTCCTACTTTTTAATTCAAATACTGTTTTAAGGAAAAAAAGTATAGTTGGGATCAGGCTGTGACTACCTCCCAGGCATCATCCACACAAAACTAACGGCCTCTATGTACTCACAAAGCATGCGCATCCCACACGGGCTTCCTTTGGGCCTATTTGCCTATGTTCTCCCACATGCAGGTGGAGGAAGGAGCAGGTGTCAAGCATCCACTGGGCAAGTCTTTTAACAAACCTTTTCACTTCTGCGATCGTTTAAATTTTCTTCATATTTTACGTAAAATGTATATGCTTATCTTCATTTTGGAGAAGACCCTGGCTTTGGAGATTCTAATGTATCCTACTGCTTTTGTTGTCTAGACTTCCATCCCTGTGTTTGGACAGGGCAGGGGCTCTAAGCATTACAGGGGATAATTATCGCCCTGCTCGACATGTGCCAACATAAACTAGTTAATTAATTTTTACAATGAACATAGCCTTCCGTATTTTGTAAAGAGGGAAGCCCAGGCGTGACATCACCACCACCACTACCACCACCGTCGTCACTAATGGAGCAGAGTTTTTGGAAGAGGGCACAGGCTTCGGGATCAGAACAACTTTCTGTGGAGCCTGCTTCCAGTAGTCACTAGACATGACTTTGGGCAAATCATAGGACCTATTGAGCCTTCTTGTCTCCATTTACAATATGCTATCTTTCAGGAGTTGACACTGGGCAATCAATGCTGATGTGGAGCTGCAGAGTCTGATACATGAGGAATTTGCAGAAAAGAGATCACTGGATATACTTGAAATGGCGTAATTAATGCTACGAAGACAGCCCACATTGTGGGGAGAGGATTGGAGAACGAAAATCGGCCTTTGGCATGTAGGGTAAGATTTCTCATTTTTTAAAGTTGAAAGCTAAAAGCCTTCCATGGGCCAGGAGGGAATACCTCTGCCCCTCCTGTTAGGAGGCCCCTTCTGGAAGGCCGAACTTGCTGCTTGCTTGGTGTGGGACTTTACATCACCAGAGCTTACAGTCCTGCCATGTAGACTATTGTATTCATTCTACACAACAGTATCAAGAGGTGTTATCATGATCCCAAATTGTGGAAGAGGACACTGGGGCACAGAGCTTTGGTTTAAATTGCCCTGGAATGTAGCGAGCAAGTCATCAGATGGGGCTTCAAACCTGGAACTGCTTCTAGGCCTCACGTTTTGTTAGTCTTTATATGTGTTACCAACCTGATGGGGATTGGTAAGATCATTAAATGAGATAGGATTAAGATATTATTAAGATACCCAATGGGGTCAATGATTCAAGTCATGGCAACATTAAAGAATTCAATGGAATCAGGCACACGAGAGCCTGGGCAGGATCCTCAGCACAGGTGCACACGCTGGAAATGTACACTCCAGCCCGAGCTTACGTTTACCTTCTTCACCCAAGCCCCCCGCCCCCCAACCCCAAAACTGTGTGAAGGACTTGCACACGTGTTTTGTCTGAAATGCAGTTTTTGCTGTTTTTGTTTTCAACCAAAGACTGACATTTTTGTACTGGGGGAATAGGTTGCCTGAGTTCTGTTTCCTTCCTAAACAAGGCTGGGCACTTTCTTGGACTTCTTTGGGAAGATGAATACGGAGCTGCACCCAGTGCTCCTGCAGGAGGCAGGTGGGTCTGCGGGAGGAGGGGGCACGAGCAGCCTCCCCAGCTCACCCGGACCAGGGCCCCTCGCCCCTGCCCCCCACCCCCTGCGGGACCCAGGGAGGCCACGAGTGTGCACGCGGACTCTCCATCCCGGGGAACGCATGGAAGCAAAAGGACTCAGGACACCGACTCGCACGTACCTTTTCAGACTAAGCTTTTATTTTTTTGATATTACAAACCAGTTTTTCTTTATTCACAAACCACTGTAAGTGATATAAACACTAATTTCTAAAGACAGATATACACATTTTCTGGGTTTGCAGATTGCATGATGTGTGTGTTAAGAAGTCACTATATGCCACACATGATATTAATCTTTTTTTCCATAATTCATAATAGCAATAGTTATTTAGATAAATGAAAACATTCCAAATAAATACTGTTTAAAAAAATCCAAAATGTTTGTTTACATCTCTGACATACATTTTAAAATGACTTATTGGCATCTTGGCGGAGTGCCCGGACAAAAGGTTTTGCAACATCATGTGGCACTCACTTGCTCTAAATGATTTTATTAAAACTACATACAGTCATGGGGGAAAGTACAGCTCATTGATGAAAATCAAAACTGCAAATTAATTTTACTTTAACCAACACAGTAAGAATTCTATGTTTGTGATTCCAAATACAATGCAAATTCTGGATTTTTGACATCGGAGGCAATGGGGAGAGAGCGCTGGATTCTCCCCAAGGCCCCTGTCCCTTCTACCTTTCTTTCCCCGGGGGCAGGATGCCGAGCATTGTGATCAAGTGGTGTTTTTTTTTTTTTTTTTTTTTCAAACAGCAACCGGGCACCCAGTGTCCTAGCACTGTTCTCCAGGTGGGGGAATGAGAATTGTCTCCCTGATGCTATAAAACACCCCCTGGCCCCTCCCTCGCCCACCCCAGTAGACCTGCCAAAAAGAACATTTGACATGCTTCTGGCTGCTAAGCATTTCCCCCTCCCCCTTCTCTCCTCCTCTCCAGATAACGAGAATCTGTCTTAGATATCAAAGCTACAGAAACTTTGTTTTCAAATCTTGTGAAACTTTATTGATGGTTTAATATCCAACCGATCTTACTGCATGCACATAGGATGACAAGAGAAAGCTGGATCACAAACACTTTTTTTTTTTTTAAGTTTTGTTTGGTTTTGTTTTTTTAAAGCAGAGTTGTTACAGCGGATTGGCGGGTTCACAGCGGTGAGCTGAGAATTTACTGGAGTGCGGGCGGTAGGGCTCCGCACTGCACAAACACACGGAAGATTGACCTATGGCGGAACTACGGGAGGCGGCTGGCCGCTGTTTTGTTTTTTATTTCAATACAAAAACAGGAAGACCCGTGACAGATACCCCAACTTAGGTTAACTTGTAAACAGGACAACATGGAAAGAGTTCAAACAGAAGAAGTACAGACAAACTGCAATTTTTCGGCTGTGTCGCTCTGGCCCTGCTGCCGAAGTGGGGGACGTAGTTCTTCGGGGATGAAGAGGGTGGAACCTACTGTTTTTTTGTTTTGTTTTGTTTTTCTGCTTCCTTCTGACAAGTGTCCTGGGCCTCGGAGACAGAACTAAAGATACTGGTTTGAGAGAATCCTTGGGGACGAGGAAGAGGAGGAGGGCAGGCTCTCACGGGCGGAAAAATTGCAGATTGCTCACACAACACAGTCATGTTTCAAAAATTACCAAGCTGATGAAAATACCATGATTATCTCTACTCAATGATTGCAATACTTGTAAAATGCTTCTATAAATCCGAATATGATTATCATGTAATTCCATAAAAATTATACATCTGTCTCTAACAGTTGTTCTACTAGGCTAAAACTAAAGCTTCATAGACTGTTTCTAGAACTTAACAACTCCACTGCACAGATGTAAATTTTATACATTTTTTTTTAACTGGTACAAAGAATTTAAGTTTTTATTACTTTCTTTTTTTGGAAAAAAAGAAAAAAATAGAAACAGTGCTTTTTATCACCTTTTTATTAATGTTATTTTTTTCCCTCCCATAATATAAAAGTCAGCAATGATATCAATAATTTATTATACTGGAAGAAATATAAAAAGAATGCTTGTTGATGGCCTAACTAGCAGTTTTTGCCTAAATAACTAGCGGCTGGTTAAGAAGCTGAATACTGCCAGGTGGAATGGTTTTAAAGGGTGGGTTTGCACAGCTTCATTCAACTTGGATGCACAAAGTGCTTCGAGAAGCACCCCCTTAACAACATAACCTTTGGCTTGAACTCAATGAGTAACTTAGAACCGCTGATATATGATTGTTGGTGCAGTGGGTCGTTTGGATTCATCAGTTACTAGTTTATGTTTCCTTTTAGCCCAAATCCCGGTCCCCATCCCCTAAGACCCTCCCACCCTTTCCCGCTCGTAAAATAAAATAATGCAGATGCAGAAAAAAATGACTATTGTAGTCACTTACACTCTTCCCAGACAGCTGATAACCCCAGTAGCTTAAGATTCAGCATATATAATTCATTTACATGATATAGCACTCTGGATATGGCCCTAAACCAGTTTTTATTCATAGCTAGCATCTCTCTATTTCAACCACAAAAACTCCTACAGCCAGCAACCAAACTACGGAACCTTCAGAAATTAAAGACCCACAATATTAAAATACACAGAACAAAATATCTGAGGTATAAGATAAAAAATGTAATTTTTTTCCTCTTTTTTAATTTTTAGAGCTGCTAAAATGATGTACTACTGCATGTATTGCAATACCCAGGCCTCGGAAAGCTTCCTCTCTCCCCACATTGGAAGGTTTTAATGGTTTTGTCATTTAGTATGGAGCAAAACGGTTGTATCCCCCTCGGTATATACTAGCCTGCAATGAAGAAAGAACGAGACCCACATCATCAGCATGGCTCCTAGTCTTGGCATCAGTCAAGGGTGCAAAAGCATTCTGAAACAAAGCAATTTGAGGGGTGTGTTTTTTACATTTTCCTTTTGCAACACGTGGATCATCAAAAAAGACTAATGTGAAAAATAGACACTCAAAAGCAACCGAAATGGAGGCACCCCCTACCCATCCCAGGTCATTCTCGGAGAACTAACGACAGGGCCAATCCTGACCTCCCCCAACAGCTCTTTCTAGAGAAAATCCCTGTGAGCCCAAATTCCGTCGGCCAGTCCCGCTAGAGAGAAGGACTCTGACACGGGCTGGGCAATGGAAGGGTTGGCCCTGTCTCGTTTTGTTTGCTTGTTGGATTCATTAATGCGACATTCCAACGGGAAAAGCTCAGTCTACACTCAAGAGGTCGAACATAGACGGCTGATTGGATGCAGCAATTCAACTCTCCTTTCCAACACATTCCTCAAGTGGGCTAGGTGTTGAGGCAGAGTTGCTGAATGCAAAATCAGGATGAAAATTTAAATCAACTGCTTACTTGACTTGCCTCAACAACCTGGCTGAAATTTGCTCTTGAGAGGGGAGTTTACAGATGGATTGCTTGATGTAATTGAGCTTGTGCAAAATAGTATGTTTCCAAATCATGGCTGAATTTCTATGACCAAGCTCCAGTGACTTGTCTGGCCATGGCTTTAGATGGTTATGAGGTGGCACTTAACTATTTCTTTGTTCTAAAAGTATTGGCGATTCAAATGAATGCCTATGGGGATTTATTTTTAGGATAAGGACTGATATTCTTGATCCCAAGCAGAAAACTGCATGCCAAAAGCTTTGTAATGATTGCATACGCTCTCACGTGATGGGCACGTCTTACTGTACTCAAGAGTTTTAGTGCATAGAAGGTTGAACAAGGTACAGGCAAATTCACCCCACCCTCACCTCCCATTTTTGCCCTCCCCCCCACCCTTCCCAAAACAAAAACCCAGACACCCCCCCAAAAAACAAAAGACAACTCCTGAACCCAGCTGATTCCTTCTAATTCCTTATGTACTAGGCACACACACAAAGTGTGCCCCTCTCTCTATTTTCTTTCCTGGGCGACTATGACTTTAAACATGAATTGTAATAGGGGAGGAGAGGCAGTCAGATTCTCAGCTGCCTGACAGCAGAGGCCTGGAAGTGTGCAGCTTAGCTCCTCTGAAGTCTGTGCTGGGGCTGGAACCTTGGGGCTATGTGAATGAGCAGCAAGGGAGGGAAAAAAAAAAGAAAAAAAAAGTTCTGCATTGACACTGCATTCTGTTAGTGATGGATTTAATTATCAAAATGACTAATTATTCCATTAAGGTAAGTGCTCTGCTAGGTGAGACTTGCAAAATTAGAAATATAATAACTTACATGCACTACATTGCCAAGAAATTAAGACATTTATCAAGTTTACTGGGAGGATTAATGTGGCATTTTAGCTGCTGTTAGCACAAGAGACAAATTCAATTAAGGGAAAGTGAGAGGACGTCAACCGTCAACCCATACTAAGGTCCCAGCTGGGGGAAGGGAAGGGAAGCAGGAAAAAGTGAGGAAGAGGAGGGATTGGTACTCACCATGGCACCAACGCTGTAGGTGGGGGCTGGAGCAAGTGTGTGGTGGTAGGGGTCGGCAGCATAAACTCGTCCGTAACTGAAAGGAAAACACGGGTGAAGATTAATCCATAATATGCAATTACAAAGTCATAATAACAACCATAAAATACAAAAATACCAAGACAGTGTGGAGGGGCCCTATTCATCTTCAGAGATTAGGAACACGTTCCCATCTGCCACACGAGAGAGATCCAACTGTGGCCAACACATTCTTTTGTTCATTTAACATTTGCTGGTGAGATAATACACATTGAGGTAGACAGAAGAAACACCTGGAAAGAGTGGTTTCAAGAAGCCCAGGACTCACGAAGGACATGTTATTCTCAAGAGAGACTCTCTTTTCTCCTAATTTAGCTGTTACCAATCAAGTGAGACAAGGTGGATCACAAAGGGTGGTGTGGTTCAGTCTGTGCAGTTAGGGTCCAACATCTCGGAAGAGGAAATAACAGATGTGCTTGAACAGGAGGCTCCTGGAATGGTTTGTACGGCCTTCCCCCCGCACCCTCTCACCCAAGAATTAGTCTGATTTGATTTTGATCCTATCACCCCAGAACTTCTAACCATCAGTGGTCAAGTTCTGAGAAGGGACACTTTTCAAACAATATTTCTTGATGCTGAGATCTCATCTTTGAGTTTCTCTATGCTTCTCTCCCCTCCTCCTCCCTCCACTGCGCTGCCTCCCAGTACAGGCTTTGGAACAGAAATGAAGAAGAGATGGATGCCTACTGAGCGTCTGGAAGTGACCACAGCAACACATCAGAAATTAGAGGGCAGAGAGTTTATTTTGCTCAAGATCACAGAGCCAAACAGAGACAGAGCTGATCCTTGAATCTCTCAGGGTGACCCGTGTGCCCCTTCCATGCCATCTAACACCCTTCCTCGAATGACCTGCCAGATACCTTTGTGGAGACAGTATGGACATTGGTTCTTTGGTAATAATCAAAGCTGAGGTGCAGGTTGAACCGGGTTAGGTTCCCCAAAAGAGTCTGAGATGGAAATCGTTACACACATGCTTTGTTGAAAGGAGCACTTTCAAAAAGAGGACAGAGAGGCAAGTAGGTTGGAGAATGAGAGAAAAAGAGAAGCAGGGATAGGCTCTGAGCTGGAGTCTCACTACGTGGAGTCTACATGATCTTGTGAGCTGCACCCCAAAGTTAATCCCGCCTGGAGAAGAGTACATTGGGTTTTTAATACTCACGTAAGTTCAGCATCAGCTGTGGGCTTCCCTAAGGAGGGAGGACAATTTCTGAGTTAAAATGACCCTCTTTGGCAGTGGGTAGTTCTCTGAAGGAGGGAGCAGCTAGGCACCATTAGCAACCAACACTCACAGCAGCTGGGGGATGCGTGTACCGGCCACTGCATGCGATATATGTCCATTATCAATGGCTTGTGACTCTTGGACTTTGCTTTAGGGAACGAAGGAACTAGGCAGGAAGAAATGGTTTGTCTGTACTAGCTCACCTCCCATCTCTTAAGGTCTCACTCGCGTGTATTTGTATTCCTTCCCTTTCCCGGCTTTCCCCCACCTTCCTTCTAATCTTCTTTCTCAGAATGTACTGGATGGGTCTCACTTGGTTGCTCACACCGCGGAGCCTGGGACAGTGGGAAGAAGCTTGTGTGCAAGTTCTTTAAATCTTAGGGTCTGAGTTAGACCCCAAATAGAAATTTTTGATGATGCCAAGCTGTCATTGGACGTGCCCTACTCCTAAACTCTCCTTGTGTGTTTCAAAGGGCGCTGAGCTCAGATAACTGAGATGAGGCTTTCCGCTTCAACACACAGTTCTGATCCTCCACAGCCGGGACAGGAGTGGATGTTTCTTTTCTGAGGTGACCCTCTCAGGGTCACCTGTGAACAGTCAACCTTCTCTTTTCATTCTTTGGAGCACCCTTGATTGATTTGTCTCAATCAGACAGCCCTCAGTCAACAATGCTCCCTCTCGCTGGAAGAAGAACGGCTGTAAGTCCAAGACAGAGACGTATGTTTGGATGTATGTCCAAACAAGATGAAGGATGACGTTTTTGAAGAATTCTTATATTCACAGATGTCACCCAAGTTGGGCCCCTGCCCACATAACTAGAAGTAGATGTGAATTAGGGGTAAAAGGACATGATATATGACATTGGTGCTGACTTTCATTTTGTGAGAAAATAGTCTGTCATTGGTCTAGAGAAAAAAGAAACCACTAATAGAATTATTTTAATGCACTTTCACCCACCAAAGCCGGTCTTATGAACAGGACATAAAATGCAAAGACAAACTGAAAATCCTTGGGAATTTAGTAAATGATGCCAGAGCATCGCTTTGATGGTATTCCTTTAAAACGGGTATGAAAATGCCCATTTAGAGATTTTTTTTTTTTTTACTTGAGGAATGGTATTACTGTGGCAAGTTTCCTCTCTTGAGGAGATAACATATTGGTAGTCTGAATGTGTTCGATGAGAATGTAGCTCCTGCCTCTTCCCTCCACATACTTTAATGGTAAATTCTTATTTGCCTATAACACTGGGCAGAGCTTCAACCTTCGTGGAAAACCCAAGGTAACAATTTGGCCGTATTCTTTTCCAAGGCAGAAGAAAAATACAGCAGCACTGAACTATTCCTCGTAAATGAGCAGGCTCCTTTTCTCCTCAGGGTGACCTCTACCTTCAGAATCCGATGGTTTTATTATGATTAATAAATTTCATTTCCACAGAGGAAAAGGGACCATGTCAGCTCAAACTGAAAGCAAGGAGGCTGCTTTTCAAATGCTAATTTCTAAACACGCCCTTGTGTGACACTACAATTTAGACACAAGGTTATTAGGGAAGATGTGGACTGGAGCGCTACTCTTTGCGGCAGAAATGCCGGGCACGTCAGTGACCTAATGTCCTCAGAGCTGGCTAAGCACAGCCCAGAGGAAAAATGGCGATTCCTAGGGACCCCGATAGGGGTGATGGGAAACTGTCTTACGCCTGCCATTTTATGAGCGACCTATACATATCATCACCTTCCATGCCACCCATCCCTGGCTGTGGTGGACAATGATGCAATCAGGTCATAATGGTCTCCATGTCCTCACATCTCATCCATCAGAAATTACAGATGAAATCTTCCATGTGTCTACTTTACTCCATTCCACACTATTACCACCCTAACCTAAGGCGCCAGGGTTTCATCAGAACGAAATCTACAACAATCTTGTCTTTTTGTTCTACTCCTGCCTCTTCAAACCATCAGCCATTTATATCTGTAGCTAATAAGTCTACCATGTATCCTATATATCCTATCTATCCATCCATCATCTACCTAGTTAAATATAAACCTAATCATATCACTTCCCTGCTTAAAACCCTTCAATGGTTTCCCATTGATCCCAGAATAAAACCCAAACTTGCATGAGTTGCCCTTGACCCTCTTTCCATCCGATCATGTTCCCTTCTGCCCTCTGCTCCCTATACTCTAGGCACACCGTCCTCATCACTACTCCGTGAACACATGCAAATTCATTCTCTCCTTACAGCCTTGGTACTTGCCTGTCCTTCATGTAACGTAGCAAGTCTCTAACCATTTTGTTTGCTTACATTCCCAACTGATTATTGACCCCTCCCACCCCTGCCCAGAAGGTCAGCCCCATGGAGGCTGGGCTAAGTCTATTTTGTTCACCTTTTTACCTCCGGCATCCACCAAAGTAGTTGGCCACACTGCAAGTGAACAGAAAGCTAAGCCAATGCTGCTGAATGAGTGAAGGCAGGGAGAGGGAGGAGCAAACAGGAAAGAAGTGAGTCCCAGAAGACACTTGCACCCATCCTTAGGATCCTGTCAGCAGCAAAGATTCTTCTAGATAGGCTTTCTGAAGATTCTAGGTCAGCTGCTTCCAGAGACATTCAAAACCCTTCAAGATACTCAAAAGAAAAGTTTCTGGGGACTCTGGAAGTACAGAGCATAATTTCATATCACCCCTAAGAGTTCACAGAAGACTGGCCAAGATGCTGGAAAGCTCTTCAAAACCATTTAGGGAAAAGCCAACCAAACAATGAAATAGAAGATAACAGCTTTGCTGATGACCTTACCATGCCTTACAGCCAGGTCATCATGAGCCCATGTTTTTTTTTTTTTTTTTACCTTAGCAGCAAGTGAAAACCAGGAGGCCACCCATGATGCTGGGTAGAGCCCAAGGCATGGGACAAGAAGATCCAAGTTCAAGTTTGCCTTTGCAATGTCCTTTCTCAAAGACTAGGTAAGTATCTCCCTCTCTGAGCCTCATTTTCCTGTCCATTAAGTGGTATTGTTGAGTCTCAGCCCCATCTAATTCATAGATAAAGTGCATGGAAAGAAACCAGGGTACATTTTGAAGCAGTCTACAGATATAAGAGATCGTGATGCGGGGAATCTTATGCAGAGTTGCCAAGCCAGGCTCCCACTGCTGCCCACACCTCTGGTCTGTAGAGGCAAGATTCTCTTCTAACGTGATTGCGTGTAGCTCTAGCAGTCAACCTACAGATATTTGGAGTTAAGCACTATCTAATTTATGAGTTACAGATGTGGTTAGAAGTGCTACATTTGACCCTAAGATTATGTTGGAGTAAAATGAATAACTATGCTGCCTGTTGAGTGGGAAATGAGAACCTGTGTTTGTAAAAGTGCTTTGTCAACTCTACTGAGAAATGCAAATATTACTTATTATTAACATCTGAATCCAGTTGAAACAAACCGGATGCTAATGAAATACAATAGAGCTGTGCTGGTACCCACACCAGGATTCCAGCAGTGAAGTGATTTTCTTATAGGGACATAGTAAGAACACTAATTAATTTCACTGTATTTTATTCTATATCTCAATTAAGAGCTTTTATGCCCTCATGGATCTTTATTCTTCCTGTATCATCACTTCCCCATGCCTCCTGTCCCAGAGCTAGCTGGGGAAACCCTGGGTTGCAGAAAGTTAAGTGAATATCCCCACCCTACAGATGAAGTTCCCAGTGGCATGTAGCTCTCCTGGACAGCCCAACCATGGCAAGGAGGTCTGGAGGATTGTGCCCCCACCACACTCAGAAGTG